TTATGTGGCATTGAAGATTATTAAGCCGAGATACTCGAAGATAATTGCTACCGTGCCAAACGATTGCCGATATTTGCTTTGTTATGTTGCCTTGAAATACTGATAATTTGGGAAATATTTTAAGCTACCGGTTGCTACTCGATCTTCGTTTACTAGGTTCTCGATAAGGCGTAAACATACGTGCTCAAAAGTGTTCACCGTTAATTGCTCTACGCCGATCAGAAATTTAGAGAGAACTGACTGGCGATAGACGGCACGGACAATGTTTTAATATACAATTTTATTTTATTTCTACGTGGCACCTGTTTCTGGCAGCTGAGCAAACGGAATTGACTTTGAGAATTTCTCGATCATTGTGCGACGCCTGAGAACATCTGTATCAACAGCTTCTTTATCTCCACCGTACATCATGCGTTTTGTAACTTGATCCCGATGGCAACAAGGTGTTTCATAACTCCTAAACATGCTGTAATTGGCAATTGGATTTTTACGGGTACAAATTGAGTCACAACGCTTCTTTTTTTTCTTTCTTTTTTTCTTGCGATCGCTTTTATTTAATTTATTTTAATAAATTACAAACGATAGGTTTGTCTTTAAATATGCGTGGAACCAGCCATGGAATAATTCTTCTTTCTTTTTCTAAGGTAATCGTAACGTACAAAAAGAACGTAATGATAGCTAGTATCGCTTCGAAGTTTTCTTTATCGTCATGTTGTATGTAGGAGCATAAACCGGTAAAGCTTTTTTTGCGGCGCATTACTGGCGTATTAAGACGTTATCACCCTACGGTCAGCCGACCGCAATGTCCATCAAAAAAAGTAGTGCACCATTAAACGAAATAAAGGCAACATTCAATGTTATTTTTTTTTTGTTTTCTTATACGGAACAATGTTTATTATATTCGCGTTTACTTTTATTTTACGACTCACTGTCAAGCGTAAACAAGAGAAAGTGAACTCTATCAATACTTAGTAATGGTACTGTCCTTCTTTTTTTTTCAAAGGAAGACTAATACGTATGAAAAGGAAACATGAATACTTTTCGAGCATCCTAAAAAAATACATTGATCTTTTTTACTGCTTGTAAAAAACAGTATGTTTTCAATAAATAATGTGTGTGCGTGCATATTCGCATGTTAAATACATTAACACAAAGTGTTAATCTTTTTCTAAATTAAGCTAAATTTGATGTGGATCATCAGAAGTTTTGGAAGAATATAAGTCAAAGAGTATAAAATTCGTATGTAACCCATACTCTTATATGAACCGAATTGCATAAACTAATTATAGCTAATATAGCTTTCACGTAACTAATTTGTAAATGGAACAACTATAATCTGGCTTTATAGTCCATTTCTAAATTGTATTATCATTAAGTACTTAGAAATTTGTTGATGATAGGTGCAATTCTTTCGGGATTATTTAAGTGGACATGGTGAGTTCCCTCCACTTCATGGTACTCAAATCTTTTAGAACCCACTTTTATTTGATCCAAGATCTGATGATAAGCGTTTGGATTGTCGTACTTCAATCCATTTGAAGCGCGAATATTAAGGTATGCGCATTCTATTCGAGCTGCATATGCAAGTGCCAAATCTATACCATCTGGTACACCCAATCCAGCAATCTAAAAACAATACGACGTAAATATTATTGTACGTAGTATTTTATGGATTGTATGTACTGAAGTTATTCTAAAATAGTAGACATATATTACCTTCAATCGCGTGTCTCGTGAAAAACAATACCGATCGGGATCGTAAGAGGGTCGTACACCACGTTTCATTAATACCATTGCACTTTCTTTGGTTACAGAACCTTTATAGGCATCCTCTACTATATTAAGTACATCTTCATAAGTATAGGATGGAACATTCTCATTATCATGCGTTTCATAGATTAAAAACTTATCAACTACAGCACCGGTTAAAGCAGCACTTTTTGTTACGCTTCTTACATTAGGGCCTGCAATATCTATAGAGATAATGAACTCCACTTCATTGGGAAAAGATGAAGCATATAAAAATGCTATTATTCCTCCCAAGGAATGTCCAAGTAATTTTATCTAGAATTAAAAATAAATAATTACATGAAATATTAAGTTAAACTAAATATCTTTCCGTCAAACGTTACAGTGATATAGCAGAAAAAAACAAATAACAATGACTGTCAGATTTATATACACATATGGGCAATGCCTGTAACGTGAGTTAAGGAGTTAAGTCAACTGATATGGGAATAATTATATAGTGTTCTAACTAATTGTGGAGTAGTAATGTTAATCTATTCGCTAACCTTATTCCATTTAAAATGCTTAACGATTCTTCTGAGTAGAATTATGCCATCCCAGTAAACATAATAGTACTGGCTTTTTGGATAATGAGAAGATAAACCATGTCCTGGCATATCTAAGCATAATATAGAAATCTCATCAGACAATAAAGGTACTAAATTGTCAAAACTTCCACAATTGTCTTGCCATCCATGTAATGCTATTATCGGTTGTTGATCCATTGACCCCCATAATCGTCCTAAATAATTATTATTACACTGCGATAACCCACACTTCTTTCAAGAATAAACAGAGATAAATTTTTAAATTTACCAACCGCTCACATGACCCCATGGTACAGGAATCGTAATTTCTTCTACACCTACAAATCAATTACGCGATTAAGTAAATACAATCTATTTTATCAAAGAAGAGCATTAGCTGTTTAAAGATAAATGTGTTAGCTTACTCCGTGTTTTCTGTCCATTTATATTATCAATAGAGGTAGTATTTTGACTTCCAATACTCATCTGGCTCCAAAAGATGTACTGACAGTGATTGAATTATGTGTAAGGTTTCTTTCTGTTTAATTTGTATTGCACCTGCACTTTTAAATTACTTCTACCTGTTGAAACTGAATTACTCTTTTCCTGTTCAACAAATACTAGAACAGAAAGACAGTATCACCTTTGATGCTCAAAGTTCAAAATTATAACTACAAATCATCACAGCTTGCATAAAATATTTCTTGTTACGTCACTGTATTTTATAAGATAACGGACTTTCCAAGTAGTACTATGTATATACATAAAATACGTTCGTATTTATTTCTTAAATATTAAAATTATACGCACGTTAATTACACGTAATGTCCACCGTTTTCGTGTAGATCTATCGTAAAATTTTTGAGACGTATTAAATATTATTTCAATGAATTTCAGACAGCAGTGCTGTTAACTATTTCTGAAGGGAAAATTCGTTCTTAGTTATCAATGATCAAATGATTAGATAGTGTTTCCCGGATTGTAAATTTGAGAGAGTTTCGACTGAATTCTTCGACGTCACACTTCAAAACGTGGAATGAACAGTTTCTATATAGTTTTTTCGATTAACGGTACAAAATTGTGTTCTCAATTTATGGTTATCTCTAGATCCGTCCTCTCAAGTACGACCGCGTGTTGTATTTAGACTATAACAACGTATAAAAACACACGCGAAACAACATTAACGAAAAACATGAAGTTGTTACATTAAACAATACGAATAAAATTGATTAAACAATTCAGAAAATAGGTATATTTATTATACTTCACAGGATTATGGACATATTTTATAGCTAAAGTTGTAAGACTTGCATTTATAATTTGTAAGATTTTGTAACTTGTCATGATATTGAAACATAATTTCAAAATTTGTTCTAGATTTTATTTAAATTAATTTAATTTGTTGCGGTCGTAATTATTGCAATCATTGAGATGGAAAATAATGATCATATAGCAAAGACTGTCATCCATGCAGGAACAAAAGCAATCAATTTTGTACCTGGAACCAAAGTATGTATTGCAAACACTCATTTGATTCCAACATTCCTCATGTTGGAATTTTAAATAAATTCTATTTGTTATACTAATAATGTTTAAATTTGTAGGTTATTTTTCATTTTAAAACAACAAAATGTGATCCTGAAAAGACAGTCATTGATGACAGTAAAGTTATGGGAAGACCAATGGAGCTTATTTTAGGCAAACAGTTTAAACTAGAAGTATGGGAAGTTATTATACAAAAGATGGCATTAAAAGAAGTGGCATGCTTTAAAGTGCCTAAAAGCGTACGTTTGTGATTGTACATGTACACGTATAATGTATAGTATAAATATTAACAAATGCTTTACTAATATTTATTGATTTAGCTAGTCACAACGTATCCTTTTGTGTCTAAAACATTGAGAGAAGTAGGAAAAAAACAATCAGAAAAACGTACCCACCATTGTTGTGGTGTAACTTTGCAGAATGAAGGAATAGGATACGATGATTTAAATGAACTTATCAAATGTCCTCAAGACTTAGAATTTACAATTGGTGATTATTTTAAAATAAAAGTAAGATCAGAAACATCTAAAATATCTTAAATTAATTGTTTCATATTGCAGAACTTACTAATGTAGTATTACCGGATGAATATGAAAAAGAATCATGGCAAATGACTGAAGATGAGAAACTGAAAAGTATCCCAGAAATAAAAGAGAAGGGAAATGCATTATTTAAAGAAAAAGACTATGAAGCAGCATGTAATGTGTATGCAAAAGGAATTGGAATGTTAGAGCAACTTATGCTTGCGTTAGTATTTTATATATACACATGCTTGATTTATAAATATTATTAATTGTTACATGTAATTTATAGTGAGAAACCCAATGAAGAAGAATGGTTGACTTTAAACAGATTGAAGATACCATTACTTTTGAACTATGCACAGTGTAAATTGAATCAAAAAGAATATTATGCAGTTATAGAACATTGTACTACAATTCTGAAACATGATCCAGGTTTGTTATATATTTTCTCTGTGTATATAAAAAAATACTATGCAAATACACAATTTGTTATTATTAGATAATGTCAAGGCCTTGTACAGGAGAGGCAAAGCATATATAGGAGCTTGGGATGAAGAGAATGCTACTAAGGATTTAAGAAGAGCAGCACAGTTGGATTCTGCATTGCAAATGACAGTTGAAAAAGAGCTTCAAGCATTTTCTGCAGTTCTTAAAGAAAAAAATCTAAGTGACAAAAAACAATTCTCGAAATTATTTAAATAGTAAGTAAATAGTGAGTATATGCATGTGTATATATATAAAAGTCAACAAGATACAAAGAACAATTATTGTGAAAGAATTAAAAAGTTTAAATGTGTCAACGCACAACATTTTCTTTCTGTTTGAATATTTATTAATAATTAATATGTATTGTCACTCAAACTTTTCATTGATGTAATATAAATGTAATATGTGATATATTTATACATTAACAATAAATCAAAAGAATAAGATACACAAATTTTAACTTCACTGAAGTTTTCAAATACTACTATAGACTACCTTGTCACATGTGGTATCACAGGCATTGTAGTTTGCGGGGCTTCGTGTCACATGTCTGAATTACCGACTGTATAAAAAATTAAAGATTTTGTTCTGTCTTCTACGCCTAGAGAATGGTCAATAGAAAAACTATATCAAGAAAACCAAGCAATAAATACAGTAAACTAGTATACAAACCAGTACCCATTACAATGTTATGCTTCAAACTCCCAAACACGTGAAGCTATATATTAGCACAGACGGAGTATAGGATAAAGAACATGCAATGTAAAATTTAATTACATGTGGCCGGGGTCGTACAACCCCCTTACGATTTTTGTGTCACGCTCTGTCATATCGACTTAAACTAGTCTTGCATGGCAGCGCTACAATTGATAGGATTAGGAATTAGAATTGCAACGTAGAGCTATCTGAGATTTTTGAACTGAAAAAAATTCTTTTATTATTAACAATATAAAATTGGAGAGACCACTAATCGATGGGAATTATTTTTCTGATACCAAGTCTAAACATACTATAAATCAGTAAGAGTGAATAGTTTATATACATACGAAGTATTATATTTAATATTTTCAGAAGAGCAGTATAACAGACTGAAAAGAGATCAATTTTATAATATGTATTTTAACCAACAATTCCTCGCCTGTGGCGATACTATATGTCACCAACAGTGAACAAACATTGAGTGAAATAAAACCCCTGAAAATATGCAACCTCTTATTCCTCCTGGAAGGTAAGTACAGTAGGTTGTATGTTTTCAGGTATTAATTCCATTTCCTAATAAAAAAGAAATAATTTAATTTTTAGCCCTCTGATAGGCAGTTTCTGAAACTTATTTTGAGTTTGTCAACGGAATTTTGTTTTTGCGCCATCTACAAACCTCGTTTCAGAGATAATTTATTAATCGGACTATGAATGGAACTGTCAGTCGACAAAAAAGTATCATGTTTGACATATGGCAAAATATATTTTACATTATTTCAGTCAAGCGTAAAACATGGATTGTATAATTTTTTTAAATACGTATATGTGCAATTGTATTTAAGGTAATTACACAACTTTTATCAATAATTGTGAAACTTTCATCGTAACCGATTTGAACCTAACCTATGATATAGCAGGCTTTTAATTCGTATGTAATACGATTTGTAAAGACTGTTTAATAAATTTTCCATGTATTCTTTATTTCGTTTTGTTTTTAATTTTCTTACGTATTAACGTTATTTTAAAACATTCTTCATGAAACATCTTCCATGATGCTGTAATATTTGAAATCACGTTTGTATTTATTGGAGTAATTGGTTTCAAACTAATACAAAATTCAATGTTTTACATTTTTAGATATATTATATACGTGAATTGGTTAAAATGAAGCTTGTGTCAAAATTTGTGGATAAAGATGGGGAAGGGTAAGTAAACTCATATTATGCCATTATCTGTACTATGAAGGAATATTAAAATTTAAAATAAAAAAAAAATTGTTAGGCACGTGTCTCTCGTCCCAGAGAATACAGAAGATATGTGGCATACATATAATATCATTACTGAAGGAGACTTTGTTAGTTGTTCTACAATTAGGTATAATTTTTAATCATTATGACATATTAATCGTTATTAACTTTAAGGAAAACTGTATTAAATATTACTTTACAATTTTCATAGAAAGGTGCAAACAGAATCATCAACTGGTAGTTCCAATAGCTATAGAGTCAGGACTACTCTTACGATTTGTGTAGAAGGCATTGACTTTGATACACAGGCCTGTGTTTTAAGACTGAAAGGTAGAAATGTAGAAGAGAACAAATATGTTAAGGTAATGTAACTCAAATCATATAACATGCATCAAAAATGTAATATTTAATTAGCAGTACTTCCTTATAGATGGGAGCATATCATACATTGGATGTAGAACAAAATCGAAAATTCACCATCACAAAATCTAACTGGGATTCTATTTCCTTAGAAAGAGTTGATACTGCATGTGATCCTACACAGGTAAAATTACATTGCCAGTAGTACTGATCAGATATCTTTTCATATTTGTTTAATTAAAAACTTATGTATTTTATTGCAGAATGCAGATGTTGCTGCTGTGGTAATGCAAGAAGGTATAGCTCATATTTGCTTAATAACATCCAATATGACAATAGTACGCGCTAAAATAGATCAAGTTATACCTAGAAAGAGGAAAGGAAATGTTTCACAACATGAAAAGGGTTTAAATCGATTTTATGAAAATATTATGCAAGGAATTTTGAGACATATAAATTTTGATATTGTGAAATGCGTCATTCTTGCTAGTCCTGGGTTTGTGAAAGACCAATACATGGACTACATGACACAACAAGCTATAAAAACAGATAACAAAGTAATATTGGAAAACAAAAGTAAATTCTTGCTTGTTCATTCTAGTTCAGGTTTCAAACACTCTTTAAAAGGTAAATTAATTATTGTAAGGAAACTGGTAGACAGTTGTGTAATAATTTTTTATATTTTTATAATGTAATTTAACAGAAGTTTTAGCTGAACCAGCAGTAGTCTCTCGAATCTCTGATACAAAAGCAGCAGGTGAAGTGAAAGCTTTGGAAACATTTTATACAATACTGCAGACTGATCCTTCTAGAGCGTTTTATGGAAAGAAGCATGTGAACAAAGCTAGTGAAGCACAAGCTATCGAAACATTACTCATTTCAGACAAATTATTTAGGTAAATGCGAAATAGCTTGTTTTATTTAGATTCAAGATTAAATGAATTAATTTGTTTACTGTTACAATCTAGATGTCAAGATGTAGCCCTAAGAAAAGAATACGTCACATTAGTAGAAAATGTGAAAGATTCTGGCGGGGATGTAAAAATATTTTCAAGTTTACATGTATCTGGTGAACGTGAGTTGCACTTAATCATTTAATAATTTAATAATTAAAAGTTGTATGTTTTCTTGACAATTTCTACCATATTTTTAATATGTTTATATTCAGAACTGGAACAAGTAACTGGGGTAGCAGCAATATTACGTTTTCCTATGCCGGAATTAGAAGACGAAAGCGATGGTGAAAACGATTCAGAAGAAGATGAGTGAGAAGTTTAATACAATACGCTAACGTACAATTTTGTATATATTTGTGCTGTGCGCAATCAAAATATATTATTAATGAAACTTCAAATGAATTATTCCTCTATATATATTGATTATTCTTTTCACATTATCGTTGGAATCCATAGATGTATTTACCTTTAAATTGCTTTCATTAATACACGTGACGTAAGATGGCGCCACTTTAAAGTTCTAAATATTTTAGTCTCTTCTTGTTTTCCTTTGGAGAGCACGTGGAATACTTTTACAATTTACTTTTTTATGTTTATGTAGTTTCTTAATATTTAACTGTATTAGCATCGCAACCAAGATGGTTGTAATCGGAAAGAAAAAGGTATTTATTAAAATTATATAATATATCTATTGTTTTTGATTAAATCAAAGCGGTTGAGGTTATTTTGACATTGAATAAATCTGGAAAGCTACTGACTTATATTTTGAAATTTGTAGTATCAGTCTGGAGAAGGAGCGCAGTTTATGACGAGGAAAGCTGCTTTGAAAAAATTACAGCTTTCTTTGAATGATTTTCGTAGGCTATGTATATTAAAAGGTATATACCCAAGAGAACCCCGTAATCGTAAAAGGGCTCAAAAGGGTGAGCCTGGTATCAAGACATTGTATCATAAAAAAGATATTCAATTTTTATTGCATGAACCAATAATATGGAAACTAAGAGACTACAAGGTAATTTAAATCAATTCCTTACCATTACATTTGATATATAGATTTATAAACATCTAAAACTACTGTATTTTTGTAGATATTTAATAAAAAAGTGGCGAAAGCTAGAGCATTGAGAGAATTTTCAGATATGAGGAGATATTTAGACAATCATCCCACTTTAAAATTGGATCATATTGTCAAAGAACGCTACCCAACATTTATTGATGCCCTGAGAGATCTGGATGATTGTTTGACGTTATGTTTTTTGTTCAGCACATTTCCATCTCTTAGTCACATACCGAGAGATCAGTCTTTATTATGCAGGAAACTGAGCATAGAATTTTTACATGCTGTAATTGCTGCTAAGGCTCTGCGCAAAGTATTTGTATCAATTAAAGGATATTATTATCAAGCTGAAATTAAAGGTCAAACAATTACTTGGATTGTACCACATCACTTCTGCTTTGAGCCTCAAGCAAAACATGAAGTAGACTTCAAATTGATGGCTATATTTGTGGAATTTTACATTATAATGTTGGGCTTTGTTAATTATAGACTCTATCACACACTTAATTTGTATTATCCTCCAAAACTCACTACTAGTGGTAAGATGAATTTAATCTTTCCGAAAACACGCTCAAAATGCATTAATATTTAATTCTCACCCAATGTCAATATTTTATTCACAGAAAACAATGAAAAGACACTTGTGGACGAAGAGGCATATGTAGCAGAAAGAATAAGTGCATTAAATGTATCACTGGTAACACTTGATCCTACTGTGCAGAATGCAGAAGATGACGGCTTGGATATAGATCAGTTTGCAACTGTAAGTACGAATTAAACTAGTATTGTGTGCACACTGTATTCTTATTTAATGTATTTTCAACTTAGGATGGTGACGCGACGAAGTTGGAGGAGGCCAAGGCAGAAGCAGAGAAAGTTAAAAAGTTGAAAACATTATTCAAAGGTCTAAAAATATTTTTGAATAGAGAAGTGCCGAGAGAATCATTAGTTTTTGTCTTGCGTTGCTTCGGAGCCGATGTATCTTGGGATAAATTACTGTTCGTTGGGGCAACGTTCGACGAAACTGACGAAACAATAACTCACCAGATAGTGGACAGGCCTAACATGACCATACAGTATATTTCCAGGTAATGTGTAGTACTTCTAATTCGTCGTACCTTTATTTACTTAATTAAATAATGTCTGGTCACTAACATCGTTATAGGTATTACGTACAACCGCAATGGGTTTTCGACTCTGTTAACGCCAGAGAATTGTTGCCTGTAGAAAAATATTTAATGGGCTGCGTTCTTCCGCCTCATCTTTCGCCGTTCTCAGACAGCCGGCACGACCAGACGTACATTCCTCCTGAGGAACGTGCTCTTATGGATCACGATTTCAAACTGAACGATGGTATACACTTCTCTTAGCGCAGTGAAAACTAATATTTATTAATCAGCGAAGATTAAAAACTTCTTTCGTTAAACAGAAGACAGCGCGTCCGAAGAAGAGGGCAACGACGACGAGAAGGAAGAGGAAAATCCACAAGACGAAAACGAGGACGATGAAGTGGAAGTGAAGCAGGAAGAAGAAAAAGAAGACGACGTTGAAGAGGCGTCGACAACAGAAAACGAAAAGGAACGAAATCGGTTGAAAAAGGTTCATATCAATTACACGTATTTTCAATAATCTCTATTGCCATTTCATTATCAATCTACCTGTTAATCGTAGAAAAAGGAAATGAAGGTGAAAAGCGGTACAGTGACGAAAGAAGATCCACGAGAAAAAAGCCGACAGGATAGGCAGGAGTACCGGCTCCGAGAGCGAATGATTAAAAAGAAGCACCGCAATCTGTACAGGAGCATGATGAAGGGTCGCGAGGAGAGGTCCAAGGAAATATGGTTGCTCCGGAAGAAGAGGCGCATTCACGATCAAACCGAGAAACAGCAGCGCAAGGAGGCACGGAAAAAGAAGAAAGCTGTGTCTGCCGAATAAGAAGAAAGAAAAGAACAATAAGAAAAGCAAAACGACGAAAGACTCCAATTAATATTAACATAAAAATAGTATTCCAACTTTGTTCTGTATATACCCGAATCGGACACGTTAACATTAACATCTCACATTTCTCTTTTATGGTTGTCAGACGCAAGCCCGGATATGAATTCCAGAAAAAAAAGTATATTTCACGCGATCACAAGCCTTGCAATGATTTCTTCGTCCTGTACTATCCTTCACCTCGAACCCCGTTTAAATATCTGGATGAAAAATAGAAGATGGAACGATATAAGGTATAAATCATTGATGATTTGATAGCGGAACGTGACGACTTTCTCGATGGCCGTAGGTACAGTTACGCGTAATGGAGAGATGCCTTTAATCCAGTCCTCCCACTTGCCGGAGGCCTACGCGTACGACGATCCTGGTCCCTACCTCTCCGCCGAAGGACTTTGAAGGCCAAGCTACCCACACACGTTTAGCCTACGCGATACGTGCTCCCACGAAAATCGTTCCTCGTGGTGGTCTTCGTGGTCCGATAGCCTCGCGCGAATCGAAAAGAATAAAAAAAGAAAAAGAGGAAGAGAAGATCGAGCAGAGATGAAAAAAAAAGAAAGGGAAAAATGAGGTCTGCGAGTTCGATTGATCCGTGATACGACCACCCCGAAGGTCGTGCATTGATCTCGAGAGATACGATCGCGGAGTTGCTCTTTATTGCGTGCTCGTCTCGGTTGTCCGATCGCTAACCCGTCTTTGATTAGCCGCGTGACTTTCGCTAGACGAATTAACAGCGAAGGACAAACCGATTTGGCGGCGGATAAATTACCGTCGATGCATCCGGCCGCCTCGCGGTACTGTTCACCGCGTCACCTTGAACGTCGAATATCGGAATTGGACGCGAGCGCGCGGAAGACCGCGTTTATTACTTCACCGTTCCGTCATTTTTGACCTCCTTTTTTCCTCTCGGAACGAACGCGCGGGCGAAAGTGCCGCGTCCCCGCGATGCTCGCCGGTACGGTGTCAACCCTTTGCATTCGAAAGTTTGATCACCGGAAATAACCAACGATCTCCGACGAGATACTTCGAAACTAACGACGAAGGAACGAAGCTATTCGACTTACAATATCCCACGCATCGATGCGTTGCACAATACTATATACAAAACTTGATAATTCTATACCAAATCAAAACTGTCGAGTCCAAGGGGTCAAACAATACCAAAACGTGAATCTAAACACCACCTAGGTAATCCTCTGAAGCGTTCTAATCTGTAGAAGCTAAAAAACGAAGCTATTCAACTTACAATATCCCACGCATCGATGCGTTGCGCAGTACTATATACAAAACCTGATGATTCTGTACCAAATCAAATCAATTTTCGAATCCAAAGGGTCAAACAATACCGAAACGTGAATCTAAACACCACCTAGGTAATCTAAAGCGTTCCAATCCGCAAATTACACAGAACTAAGGAAACGTTCTCCAGGTTCGTGGAAATAAATCAACGCTGACGCGGCCGAGTTTGACGACGAAAAATCGTTTCCCGATAGCACAATCAACAGGTTGCGCAGAGCCAGGAAAAAACGGGTTCGGCGAGGTCGGCGATCGACCGAAAGCGTGTCGCTGAATTGTTCTCGCTCGAGTTTCCGCGGCCGGTCGCCGATTTCTTCGGCTATTTGCAGTGGTGAC